GGTTCTTCTCACTGTGACATCACTGATCGTGTTTGTGACGTCGACATCAAGTCTAATTGATGGTTCTTCTCACTGTGACATCACTGATCGTGTTTCGATCTAAAGCGTTCAGATGTTTCAGTTCTCCTGAGTCTCCTGTTGTCTGCGTTTGTCAGATAAGTTGCTGCTGCTTTGTTTTTCTTCCAGGCCGTTTAACACGGTGGAGCGGAAGGCGTCCCACGGCGTCATCGACTGCGATCAGAACAGGAAGGAGGTGCTGGTGAGGACGGGGGGGATGAACGACAAGGCGTCACGAAAGACCTACACGTTTGACATGGTGAGTGGCTGCAGATTCATTTACATAAACATGTTCATGTTTAACTTTACTTGAACCTGAAATGTCCACTGGGGATAATTCGATTTGTTTAAGTTGAATGATTCTGTCGTCAGGTCTTTGGTCCGGCAGCGAAGCAGATCGACGTTTACCGGAGCGTCGTTTGTCCCATTCTGGACGAAGTCATCATGGGATACAACTGCACCGTGTTTGCGTAGGTTTGCTGCAGGACGGTGGACAGAGTTATTAAAGTTATTACAACAACAGACCAGTGATGTGATCAAATCTGCTTCTTTGTATTATTCATTTTTCATTGTGAACCTTATTTGATTTGTTATGAGAGAAAACTTCCTCTGCTGTGCTTCAGCTATGGTCAGACAGGAACAGGAAAGACGTTCACCATGGAGGGAGAGAGGAGTCCGGACGAACAGTTCACCTGGGAGGAGGTGAGTTCAGCCATCTTGGATCCTAGTGCGTCTCAATGAGAGAGAAATACAAACTTGTTTGGATGTAAAATCTATGAAACACGGAACAATAGCTTTGAGACATTCGCCCAGTCTAAATCAGATGATCTGTCAGAGGTCACTAAACACACAATGGATCAAACGTACGTTTCCTCTGCGTTGTTAGGATCCTCTGGCCGGAATCATCCCCAGGACGCTGCACCAGATCTTCGAGAAACTTTCTGAGAACGGCACCGAATTCTCCGTCAAAGTCTCGCTGCTAGAGATCTACAACGAGGAGCTGTTCGACCTGCTCAGCCCCAGCGAAGACGTCAACGAGCGACTGCAGCTGTTTGATGACCCGCGCAACAAGGTGACGAAGGAGAACGGAGAAAAATTCATTAATGAGCAAACAACCCTGAGTTCGTCTTGTTTTACCAGAAGAGAAAAGATAAAGTATGATGTTGGTTTTTATCAAGAGATAAACGTGGAGCTAACAGAGACACAGGATTCAACCTGGAACGTGGATCTTTACTTTCAAAGAGACTTAAATCAGGATAAAACATCTTGTAGAGATCCACTGAAATGTGTTTTCTTGACGTGTATTCTCTGTCCTGACCGCTGTGTCGCAGCGTGGCGTGGTGGTGAAGGGCCTGGAGGACGTGACTGTCCACAACAAAGACGAAGTTTATCAGATCCTGGAGAGAGGATCCGCCAAGAGGAGGACGGCCTCCACGCTGATGAACTCTTACTCCAGGTCAGCGTCAGAAAACAACTGTGGACAGGATTTAAACACCTCGGCCGCTGGTGTCGCGTTCATGGTTTGGTTGTGTTTTTTATCTTTCTGTGCAGTCGCTCCCACTCCGTCTTCTCCGTCACCATCCACATGAAGGAGATCACTCTGGAGGGAGAGGAGCTGGTGAAGATCGGGAAACTCAACCTGGTATTAATCCTTCCTGTTTAATAAGAGGTTTTTAATGTAAAGTAATTAACGCTTCATTTCAAATCTCTGAGTTAAACTCCTCCAATCAAGAATTCAATTTGTAGATTCAAGAATCAACATCCTGCAGATTAACAATTAAACACCGTTATACGCACACACACGTCTTTTCAATGGTGACGATTCTAAGAGCTCCTCCTCGGTAACCGTCCGTCCTCTGCAGGTGGACCTCGCTGGCAGTGAGAACATCGGACGCTCTGGTGCAGTGGACAAGCGAGCTCGCGAGGCCGGAAATATTAACCAGTCCCTGCTGACGTTGGGCCGAGTGATCACGGCGCTGGTGGAGAAGAGGCCGCACGTCCCGTACAGGTGCGAGCTGGGAGACGCACGGGTTGATTTATGTTAACGTCTGAAGAACAAGTATGTTCTTGATCAAGATTGAAAACGGTTCTCTTCTCACAGAGAGTCGAAGCTGACCAGGATCCTGCAGGACTCACTGGGAGGACGAACTAAAACCTCCATCATCGCCACCGTGTCGCCTTCATCCAGCAACCTGGAAGTATGTCCTGCCGTCTCTGAACATCTGTCTTAATATTCACCCATCTCACGGCTCCAGAAACAGCTTCCCCCTCTGCCTGAGCTTCTCCGTTGTGATTCTGTGTTTCTCTGTGCAGGAGACGCTGAGCACACTGGAGTACGCCAGCAGAGCCAAGAACATCATGAACAAACCTGAGGTCAACCAGAAACTCACCAAGAGGACGCTCATCAAGGTAGACGAGCTCCACCACTTTGTACGAGTGTGAAATTACTTCAAGCCCAAATATTAACACACACATCATCGACCTGTGTCTGTGTTCAGGAGTACACGGAGGAGATCGAACGTCTGAAGCGTGACCTGGCCGCCACTCGAGACAAGAACGGAGTTTACCTGTCATCAGAAAACTTCGAGTGGGTCACATGAAAAAACACTAAGGCTGTTACTTATGGACAACATCGTGGAACTGTTTCACACCCGCTGAGCTCAGTGTTCGTTCTTATCGTTTCTTTCATTTCAGGAGTATGAGGAGTCAGATCACCGCTCACGAGGAGCAGATAGTAGAGTACACAGACCGGATCGCTGTCATGGAGGAGGAGCTGAAGAAGGTTATGAGACTTTTACCACGCGTTCTAATAAACTAAATGTTTCCATCTCACTTACGACTCAAAGCTTCAACCTGCTGACGACACGTTAAACTCGTCACAGCGTCGTGTGCTAGTCGTCCTCACACGTCTCCTCCTCTGCAGGTGACGGAGCTGTTCACCGACAGTAAAACCAGACTGGAGCAGTGCGCCGTGGACCTGGACGAGAAGCAGCAGAGGTGAGGCGTCGCTGAGCAGCATCTCGCTGTGAAAATCAGCAACTTGTGAAACTGAAGTGTCGTGTGTCTTGTTTCAGGCTGGAGGAAACAAACCGAGACCTGCAGGAGACCAGAGAGAAGCTGAGTCAGGAGGAGTTCATCTGCTCGGAGATCAGCTCAGTCCAGGAAACCCTGTACGCCACCGCCGACCAGGTACGAACTAGCATCACTGGTGTCACAGGTTTTCACCATGTTCAGCTCAGCTGCCATCAATCTGAATGAGATCGCTTTATATTTGTCTTCTTTAACATTTTCGTCCGTGTGCTTTTTGTGATTCCTCTCGTTCAGCTGCTGACGACGGTGGACGCCAGCACCAGTGACGTGTCGGGTCTCCACGACAAACTGGACAGGAAGGAAAAGGTAAAACAAACGAGACGCACCATAGAAACACTCAACCGCTCCTGTCTCATGTTTTAAAGACGAGAAGATTCAGAGTCTGACAGTTTGGAAATGAGTTTAACTCTGAATATATAATAATATATGAAATATAATCAATAAAAACTGATCTTGATCATTTTATATCTTTCAGGACCACGTTCGTCAAATTCTTACATGACCTGAAACCTCATTTTTACGATGAACTAATCAATTCATGTTTTGATGAGCATATTTATTTATTATCAATATTGTGGATGATTATTTTCATTTTGTTTAATTAGTCGAGGAATTGAGTTTGTTCTTGATCAACTGCTGGAGTTTGTTTGTTGGTTCTTTAAACGTTAAATGAGATGTTAGTGTTGAACCTGCTGGAAACACGTCACTGTTTTTCTCTCCAGCAGGAGATTTCAGCTCGCCCTGGTTAACTCTACATTCCTTCACTTTGAAATATTTTGACATCGTGTTCTCGTGAGCTGAGACGTTGACGCTCTTGATTTCTAAATGTCAGGTGGAGCACCACAACAGGCAGATCCAGCAGAGTTTCTCACAGCGTATGGACGGAGCCTTCAGCAGCTTGCAGCGCTGTGTTCAGCAGCATGGAGCCAAACACCACGACATGATGAGCAGCTACTCACAGGCCGTCGGTAAGACCACAGAGCTGCGCTCACAGCTTAATGTCCCAGAACAGTCTCACAGCTCGTCTCTGACCCTCCACCCCGTCTCTTGCTCAGATGGTTTACTTATAATGAACGAGGCGGCGCTGAAAGGAGCTCTGACCACCGTGGAGTCCTTCGTGGGCAGCGTGGGGCCGCTGGTGGCCCAGGGCGTGGCTCGCTGTCAGGAGAAAGTGCAGCAGCAGGAGGCGCTGTGTCTGCAGGACAAAGAGAATCTGCTGCAGCTGCTGGTGAGAAACAGACGACCTCCTGTTACGTTTCATACAAAGCATGATGTCGTTAATGTGTCGAACTCGTTTATAGTCATAACGATTATGAAACATGAGTTGTCCTCAGTTTGTGATCTCAGAGACCTCCAACGTTTGTTACCAGCTTTTCCTGATCTGTGTCTGCAGGAGGAGCATCGACAGGACATGGAGGAGGTGCTGGTGGTTCGGACTCTGATGGGATTATCAGCCGTGAAGGAGCTCGGTGACACTCTGAGGGCGTCTGTGGAATCACAGCGAGCTCTGGCCGACAAGGTGAGAACACAGTTGTGTTCTGACGTTTAATTGATCAAACATTTCTATGAAATCCAGGATTGAGGTCTCCTGTTTGTGTAACCCTCCTTGTTTTCACGCTCTCAGGTGGAGGCCATGAAGGAGATGGGGGTGTTTTTCAGCGGCCTGGTTCGGGAGCTGCGGGGGCTGCGGGAGGCCGCGGTTCAGGGTTTAAGCTCTGTGCAAACAGAGCACAAGCAGCTGGAGGACGAGATCAGACAAGCGCAAGAGAAACACCAGTTGGTGAGATTTCTCTCTCGGCTCTGGTGACACGCAGCAGTTGCTGCACTTCCCCTCAGGATGTAGTTCTGCCTCTTTTGTCATATTCAGTGGAAACGAGATGTTTGAAGCTTTCTCAAGAGGAAGTTTGCTTCTATCGCTGACAAACCTTTAACCTGTAACTGTGCTTCGCTCCGTCAGGGTATGAAGCAGACCATCCAGTGCCTGCAGGACCAGCTCAACCTGCTGACCCTGGAGACCCAGAGAGACTACACTGATCTGTGCACGTCCTCCAGAGCGCTGCTCGACCCTCTGCAGAGCCTCCAGCAGAGCATCAGCACGTGAGTCACACACGAGAAGGTTTCTCATTGTTATCCAAGTACTTCAAACACTTGTCATCAGACCTCGAGACGGAATTTCTAACATTTGTTTAACGTTTTCACTTGTGTCACGTCCTCGTCCTACAGCGGCTGCAGCACAGTGGAGCATCAGGCCTCCACCCAGGCGGACCTCCTCTGCTCCACCTCCTTATCCCTCGCCTCTTCGCTGCGTCTCAGTGCAGACGAGAGCCGACAGACGCTGGAGGAGCTGACGGGCTGCTGCTCCCACCTCCACGACTCTGTGTCTGGTATGAGACCGATCGTTTCCTCGTGTGAACTCACAACCTGCCGGACGTTCAGGGTGAGCTGCTGTTAATGCTGTTGATGCGTGGCTGCAGGTCTGGTGGATCGTGACCTCCAGTGGAGCTCCGGAGCCAGGGAACATTCGGAGACACGAGCCCAGGAACACCTCACCCTGATGAGGCAGAGTGTCTCTGAAGCTCAGAACCTGCATCAGGTAAGAAAAAGTCCCCATCGGAGAAACATCACCTGGAAGATTTGACTTGTTGAAAGTGAACCGTAATCCAATCCTCCTCCAGAGCGTGGAGACGCTCTGCACCGAACAGCTGCACAAAGCCAAGGAGGAGCTGTTGTGTCGGCAGCAGGAGGTGAGTCGAGTTCTAGTGGCCGTGCAGGAGCAGAACTCCTCAGACAGGATGGTTCTTGATGAGCAGCAGGCGGAGCTACGTGACCACGTGGAGAAGAGCCAACAGCTGGTCTGTGGTTTCCTGCAGGAGGAGCTGCAGCAGGATGTTCCCACCGGTAAACGCTTCAACCTCCGTCTGTTTGTGCTTTTATGTTTGGTTCTGTCCCAAAATGAAATCCACACCGTGCCCATCTGACAGAGACGAAATCCAGTCTCGTCTTCGTCACCAACCGGCTCTGTTGTCGCCTGCAGGTGCCACCCCTCAGCGTCGGGAGTTTTCGTATCCCAGGCAGCTAGTGAAGTCTCAGAGCCGCGGTGAGCTCCTGGATAGCCTGAGGAGGCAGCAGGAGGAGCTGCTCGCCGCCATGGATGAGGAGGAGGAGGAGCCCGAAGAGGAGGACAAACACAGCCAGGTGGAACATGTACGTTCACCTTTCTCCTCTTCAGTGACAGTTACTCTTCTACATCGTGCCGTTGTTAAAACTCGATGGCTTCATTTCACTGGGTTTATTTTAACGCTGCTCCTCTTGGTTTCATCCAGGACTCTCTGGAGGACGAGCTGAGCACTTGTAACGAAAGCTTGGCCACGGAGCCGTCCTTCGTCGACGAGAACCTCGTCTTCAACGAGAGCAAACGTCTTCCCTTCTTCAAGGTGAGCAGCAAGAATGTTTAATTAAAACCAAAGACTGAAACATGTCTGGTTGTTGAAGTTTAATTTTTATTTCTGCAGATAAGGATCTTAACCGAGTTGTTGTTTTTTTTTCTTCTGTCGCCCAGCAGCAGAAGGGCGGTAAGAAGGAGACGAAGATCCTCAGCCGACAGAAGTTGTCAGAAGCCGAAGCTGTGTTGACGCCGCAGAAATCCAGACTGCCGCTCCGCTGCATGAACTAAAACCGTTTTAAATTTTATTCTTTTAAACAATGTTTGAACTAAACTTTCTAATATTAATCTTTTGTCTTTTTAAACATTACGACGCTGTGTCGTAGACTGTCTCTTGTTGTAGCACGGTGATTGTCCCGACATTTTCAAGTTGCTTGTAAAATTAAAGAGATTTATACTTGTTCCTTTTGTTTGTTTTTCCAAGTAAGAAAATCAAATCTGAGCGAGTTTCAGTGACGCTCCTGTTTAGTTTAATATTTTAATTCGATGATATAAAAACAGTTTCTGGTGAAGTGAGTGAATTCTCTGAGGGTTTCATCGGGCTGCATCAGACACTTGATATATTCTCATTTTTCTGCTGCAGCTCAGGAAGGAGACAAAGAGTTTAGTGAGTTAATTTTAGTGACACAACAATTCTCTTCTACACAACCCATGAAAATCATTCCTACAATAAAGTACTTTTCCAGCAGGAGAAGTTTTAATGAGTGTTGCTCATTATTCCGTTTACTTTCGGTTTGTGTCGGTCTGTCTAAAAACTGCCTGATCATATTCATTTTACATAGACCTGGTTTATAAACAGGTTTGATTTCATTATTCATTGTTGGATTATGTTTGATGATGATGTCGTTTTTGAATGCTYCGTGTAGTTCTTTTAAATTTGAACTATTTACCGTCACTTTTTTCAAATAACGAAGGAGCTCTTGTGTCCATCTTTATTTACAGTCTTTTACAGTTTACGGTGGATTCCTTTTCTAGATCGCACAGAAACGTGGTCAAAGGACGTGTTTGAACTCTG